CGCCCTCAAGAATCCCAGATCTCTATTCTCTAAGTGTCAGCAGGCCGCCCCTCACCAATGTGCTGCTTAAAAGTGCTCTCCAGCCGAGGACCTGCCGTCCAAAGGATGAGGAGCAAGGAAGGTAGTCTTGTGATCCTATGGGTGGGTGTTTAGCTATCCATAGCAGCTTCTAAGGTAGGAAATGGCAAAAATGCAGGGAAGGGCTTCCTGCAAATGGCACTTCCTTGGTACTTTTGGGAGGAGAATAAATGTGGGAGTTGTGGGGGTCATTATGTGTTGGGGCCTCTTGCCAGCACAGCAAATTCCCTGCCAGGGCTTCCAAAGGCCTTTTCCCTCTGCCTGGGCAGCTCAAGCAAGCGCTGAAGGATTCTATCAGGATCCAGGACTGACCTTGCATTGAGACTGAGAAACCTGTCTTGACAGATGTAGAGTGGTCCCTAACAGGCCGTGATGGCGCATGCCTTTGATTTCAGGGCTTGGGAGGCAGAGGCAGTTGCTTTGAGGCCAGACTGGTCTACTGAGCAAGTTCCAGGGTTCCAGGGATACACAGAGAAACCCAGTCTTAAGAACCAAACCCAAACCGAACCGAACCGAACCGAACCGAACCAAACCAAACCAAACCAAATCAAACCAAACACCAAAGAGTAGTCCCCAAGTGGAGTGTTCCTGACTGAGGCAGTCATTTTTAGGGATCCTTAGCTGTGTGTATCCACTCTTACGATGTGGATAAAGTCTAGGGACGCAGCCGTGAAATGAAGGTGATGGGTGCAATGAAAGGCGGTGGTGAAGGCTGAAGAATTGATAAATGACATTTCTGGAGTCTGAGGAAGGCTCCCTCTGCCTTCAGGAACACCATCGCCAGCCCTGCTGTATAGGTAGAGCTGCCCTCTGCTGGAGCAGACAGGCATTACACACAACATACTCTGATCTGAAGCCAGTCTGCTCCAACTGGGTTAGCTCAGGCTTCCTGTCTTTCCTTGACCACAGTTGTGTCCTTATTGTTGAGATTAAGATGCCTGCCAGCCCATCTTAAACTGGCCGCTAGAGGGCTTGCTCCAAACCATCACAGTTGCCACTCAGCTGCCTCCCCAGAAAGGACCCCCCAAAGCATTCTCGGATAGCTGGTTCTCATTCCCAGAAGCACCCTTTGCTCTTTCCCCACAGGCCCTGTGGCATTTACTGGTGATGCCAGGGCTGGTTCTCTACAATTCCAGTCCTCCTATTCAACTGTCAAGACAGCCTGGTTGCTGCTCTCCAGGCTGAGTGAATGCTGTTTTCCACCTGCTCCCGATCCTGTTCCCATTCTAGGACTAGTGACTCCTTATCATAATCCACTGGTCCCCTGCAGCAGAGGGTCTCTATGCTCCACATCCTTCTGGCACTCCAGTGAGAACCTGGCAGGTGGTAGATTCTGAGCAAATGTGTGTTGAAGCTTTTAGAGCATGTCAGGGCAGAGAGGGGAACTTCATTCATGGAACCTGGCAGTATCACCCCATCGAACCCAGACCTTCCGCAGAGTGGCTTTGTGTCCCTGGACATCACCTTTTTCTGGGCTAGTTCTTCATGTTTTAGGTGGTTTCTCTGCTCCTGAGCTGTTGCAGCCTCCGAGCAGTATGAAGCTAGGGTTCTGAGTTAGAGCTTACAACTCTTTTGCAGGGGGCTTTCTTCTGTGACCTGGTACTCATCTATGCCATCAGAAAGAGTGAGTTTTACCGAGACAAGAAGTTTGAAAAAGTGAGGTGAGTTAACCTTCCTCCCTGTGGCCCAAGAGGGCCTCCCCAGCCCATGGCTAGAGCCTCATCTGGCTGGTTCTGGGTTGGGTGTGTACATGGCATGCTATGAGGGTCTGCCTCACAAGACTGGGATTGGTTCAGAACACTTGGGAAAGAAGAAGTCTCTCCAGGATGCATGGCAGAAGAATTCTTTACAGGAGGGTTTTACACAAGCCCCATGCCTCCTTTGGCCTCAGTTTTTCCATCTGTGAGATGAGAACACTGGTTTATACAAATGGACTTGGGTCCAGAGGCCTGAGGTTGAAGGGATAAATGTGTATGTGTGTGTGTGTGTGTGTGTGTGTGTGTGCACTTCACACTGGAACACAGAACACAGCATGGAGGGGATGCTGGGTCTGGGGTGACAAGAAAGGAAAGGAGTTCTTGCCTTGTCCTTGGAGAAGGCATTCTGGAGGAGCTGGGACCAGAATGAGGAGTTGGGTCAGACAACATGCCCTTCCTCAGCCCCAGCATACAGTCTGTGGGTGCAGGGCGGACCTGCGCGATTTGTCTGCATTGCCCCAGAAGCAGCCTGAATCTAGCTGGCACAGCACACCTGGCCACAGGCTGCTCTGCTGGAGGAAGGAGTGTGGCGCAGCTGGGGGTGTAGTTCTCTCTTAGTACACCAAGAAGGTTGTGGCCATGTCTCACCCAGGGGTCAGAAGGAAGAAGCCAATGTTGAGGTTGAGGCCAATGAGCTGGAGCAGGAGCCGCCAGAGAACAAGCCACTGGAGGGAGTTCAGCAGGACGAACAGCTGCCAGAGCTTGCCCAGAGTGGCAGGAAGCAGAACAGCAACTGCCAGGAGATCTTTGAGCTTGCCAGGTGAGGGTCTGTGGAGCCAGTGGGGACCCGCCTCTGCAGAGAGGGTGTTGGGATTCCCTCCAGAAGGAGTTTCCCAGTCCTAGGATGGTCCTTCTCAGCCCCATTCCCACTCCTTGCTAAGGCTGGGTACCCTCCAGCCCGCAGCTGGGTCAGGGCGGGGAAAAGCTGAGATACAGCCTGGGATGGAGCTAAAGAGAGAAAGGTGGAGGCTGCGGGCTGCAGCAGTGAGGCCAGGCTGAGGGATCTAAGCACAGCTGTTCCCGGAGCTGTCACTGCCTGGTCCCCCGCCTGAGCCCCTAACCTGCAGGTCCACCTTACTTGTCTGGCACAGCCTTACAGCTGTGGGCGGCTCTGTGCGACCCAGTCCTCAGTCTAAACCCTGGCATGCATCTCAGCTGTGGCTAGGATGGTGTTCTTTCTTCCTGGCTGTGCCTGCCTGCTCATTGCCAGAGAGAGGCCATGACTGCTATGTACTCTCAGAAAGGCCATGCTTGTGAGAGTTCCTGACTGCCTTCTCTCTGCCTCTTTGTGCACCCCTCCCCCAAGGTCTGGCCTCCAGGAGAACACCATCCTGTACTCGAAGCAGCCACAGATCTTGCAAACAGTGAGGACGTAGCCAGAGCTCTTGGCAGACAACAGATTCAAAGATGATGGGGCCAGGACAGGCCGCAGCTCTGAACTGGGAAGAAGCATCTTGGCGCTTGCTCAGGATAGGGCTTCTGGGAACAGCCCCCTCAACCCCATCCAGCTTGGGTGGGATCCTTTTGCAGCTTTTTGTTGTGTGGAGGGCTCCGGGTGGCCAGAGTGGCTTAGATACAGAAAGGAGGCACATGGGCAGGATGAGGGCTTCAGTGGTACGAGACTGTTTACCTGAACCAGCTGGACATGCATTTATTCATACAGTCAGTACACATGTATCAGTGCATGCTGAACTTTAATCCTATCTGAGAGGCTTAAATGAGACGCTGACCTGGCCCTAGGGTGGGGCACATACATGTCACTCTCACCAAAGACATCACAGCCAGCCCAGACAGTCTGGCCTTCCTTCAGCCTCTAGCCAAGACTTTGACAAGTCCCTGCAGAGAATGATGGTTATTAAAAAAAAAAAAAAAAACACAAACAAACAACAACAACAAAAAAAAACAACAAAACTGTTGGATGACATCCAGGGGACATTTAGCTCTACCCCATATGTAAAATTTAAAGGTGGCCAAGGCGGCACCTGGAAACTCCTGGAGCTCCAGGTGACCCAGGGGAGGGAAGGCAGGTAAGCCACTAGCTCGTTCTCTGAGAAACAGACTTGCCTGTGTGATTCGGCTCTTGCTGCTTGGCGGGTCCCTGACTGACTTGTTTCTGCTTTCGAAGCTCAGCCTGGATGCACTGATGTGATAAAGGGTAACACCCGGACCTGCGTCCCATGCCTTCGCCATTGCATTGCATTTCATGGAACTCAGAGTGGGGTCCATGGACCGCACTCATTCTCCAGAGAGCCTGACAAAAATGCAGGAGAGGTGGCAGGCCTCTCCCTAACGCTACCCACATGAATTTCCCTGAGATCCCAAGTGATTTGTAAGCACATGTTGTTAATGCAGCTTGGGTGACTTACACATGCTGCCCAGGGACCAAGCAGTCCCTCTCCCATACCCTGTTTTGTTTTTGTTTTGAGGCAGGGTCTCTATGTGGTTGTGGCTATCCTGGAACTCTATATGTAGACCAGGCTAGCCTCACAGAAACCTGCCTGCCCACTGAGTGCTGGAACTAAAGGTGAGTGTCTCTACACTGGCTTTCCCTCTTCACTCAGAAGACAGCAGTTCACTCAGTTTATTTAAATCCAAACATTTTGTTGAGGTAATACCCAATCTAATTCAAAATTTAAAGGTTCACAAGCATAGAAGTAGCCAGGCATAGTGGTGAACACCTTTAATTCCAGCACTTGGGAGGCAGAGGCAGGTGGATCTCTGGGCTTGAGGCCAGCCCAGTTGATGTAGCTAGTTCTGTGCTGTTTTTGTTTGTTTGTTTTTAAGACATCTCTTTCTTTCTTTTTCTTTCTTTCTTTCTTTCTTTCTTTCTTTCTTTCTTTTTCTTTCTTTCTTTCTTTCTTTCTTTCTTTCTTTCTTTCTCTCTCTCTCTCTCTTTTTCTTTCTTCTCTTCCTCCCTCCCTCCCTCCTTCCCTCCCTCCCTCCCTCCCTTCCTTCCTTCCTTCCTTCCTTCCTTCCTTCCTTCCTTCCTTCCTTCCTTCCTTTCTTCCTTTCTTTTTTCCTGAGGCTCCATCTGGCTACCTTGCCACTCCTTCAGGAAATACTCTGTTCTTATAGGAACTAATTAGGTGTCAGGAACAGACTTGGGAGCCATTTAAATAGAGGGCTGGGGAGCTAGCAGGCGTGTCCTCCCTTATCCCATGGAGGGTCTCTGCAAGAATCCAAGGCAAGAAACCCAGAGCTCAGCATCTGTGGACCAAGTTGTCAACTGTCAAGTTCTACCTTGAGGTTGAGTCCCAGGTGATGTCTGGGTGCTTCTCTAGACACCAGGGAGCCCCTCTCTAGGAGGGCCCCTACTCCACATGCAGCCTTGCAGGTGGTAATCAGAAGAGGCCTGGCAGCTGGGTGAGCAATGCACACCTGTAGACCTAGCATGTGGGAGGTGCAGTGGGTCCAAGCTCAGGAATGTCAACCTGGGCAACAGAGAGTGAGGGAGGTCCCCTTCCAAAAAAGAAAAAAGGCTGGAGGGCTGAAGCGTGGCTGTTCTTTCAGAAAACCCAGGTTCAATTCCCAGCACTCATATGATGGCTCACAACCTCCTGTAACTTTAGTTTAAGGGAATCAGATGCCTTGTTCTGGCCTCTGTGGGCACCAGGCACAGAGTGGTGCATAGACAGACATGCAGGCAAAACACCCATACATGTGGAAATAATTAAAAAAATGTTCTTAGCTTGCTGTGGTGGTACAGGACTTTAATCCCAGCACTGGGTGGCAGAGCAAGTGAATCTCTTGAGTTGAGGCCAGTCTGGTCAACAGAGCAGGTTCCAGGATAACCAGAGTTATGTAGTGTCTGGAAAAACAAAAAATAAATCAATCAATAGTAAAAAAAAGAGGGATAGAAAGGAGGGCTGTTGCCACTGGGGCAGGGGCAGTGGTGTTCACAGCAGGACCTCTTCCAAGGCAAGCAGCACCCTTGTCTGTGTCTGGAGATGTCACCAAGCCATTCCTTCTAAAAGTGAAAGCCTGGACAATCCACTTTGGCAGCTGACTTCCTTGTTACTCAGCGTGTCAGTTCTGTTCAGGAGCAAACAAGAGGGCCACGGGTCATGGCTGTGCAGAGCTTGGCTCCTCCTGCTATTACTTTGAAATGGCTTAGGGACAGTCCACTCTTTTTTTTTTTTAATCGGAATGAAAATGCCTTTTCCTAGCTATTGTCAGCAAATACTGAGCTCTCGTGACGTGTCCTGTCTTTGCAGGTGTTGCACTAAGTTCTGACACTGGACAATACAGCTGTCCCTTACGTGTTTCCAGTCTAGCAGGAGGTCAGTCCCCATCCCACCCTCCCACCAGGTTTCTCTCTGCAGCCCTGGCCTTGCTCTGCAGACCAGGCTGGCCTCGACCTCAGTGTTCTGCCTGCCTTTGTCCTGAATGCTGGGTTTAGAGGCATTCACCACCACTGCCTAGCCTGTGAGGTGTTCTTTTAATCTACTGAGGTCAAGCACTTCACTCCTGACAAGTCTGTTAACTTGTTCCTTCTGGGCCAGCGAAATTATCTAGGTCGACTCTTGGATGCATATTAGGGGCCCAAGCTTAGAAAGGCCCCCTTAGATCTTATTACAGCAGCTCACAGGGCTGCCTACTTTGCCAAGGTTGCCTGTGGCAGCCCCTTCTCCCCCACACTTCTTGCCTTCTGCATAACCTTGGTATAAGTCAGCTCATCCATCTTATGGAAACCAGCAGCTTAGAGGAAAAACCAAAAACCCCAGGGGTCTCCTCCGAAGCCCAGGCTTGCCTCAAACTCCTGATCCCCATCATAGCCTCTATGGGTGGAACCAGGCTTTTAAATCAGGAACTGGAATTCCTAAGCTTGAAGAAACACTTTATTCCCTTTTGGGCACTTCTTGGCTTACTGGCTACAGTCCTAGCCCAAGAGCTCCTTCCTATTCTTATCTTCCAGGATCTGAAGAATTCCTTGTGTCAATCCCTAGCCCAAACTAGGCCATCTAGTATTGTCCTAACAGTTATTTCATGCCTTTGGGAGCCAACAAGAAACTGATACACTGGGTGCCAGCAGTGTGACACGGTAATCAGCCATGAAAGCGAATGGGTCCTAGCTCCCTCATTTCCATCGGCTGTCCTCAGTGGGGAGTCCACCATGAAGGTGGAACATAACTTGTTCAGGTGTCTGAGTCCCCAGCCACAGCATCTTTCAGCTGAATGGGGCTCCACTTAGCCACACCCTCCCCCTCTGCCAGCTGGTCTTCCTTCAGCCAGCATAAAGTAAAATGGACCAAGACGGCAGGCACTTTCTGGGACCTGTCTGACATATGTGTTTTTGGACACTTATTTGGCTTTAAAATAATAAAAGGCACCAATTTTAAACATCTTTCTTTTTTTTCCTTTTAGGCTTTACCCCACATAGGAAACTGTAAGGTTAGACATAAAAAGGTACACACAAGAAACAATAACATGTATTACTTTCCTTGTTACCATGCAAAGACAGTCAAGTCAAAGTATGGGGATTCTTTACAGTTTGTGTGTGTGTGCCTCAGTGTGCTTGTAATGGTCAGAGTTGGGTTTTCATTTTGACAATGGGGTCATCAGGCTTGGTAGCAGACACTTACTGGCTGAGCCATCTTGCCGGCCCTAAGTAGACTCTTGAAAAGATGCTAAAAGACAAGGAAGGAGATGGCTCAGTGGTTAAGAGCATTTGCTGTTCTTCCATCAGACCTGAGTTCTGTTCCTAGCACAACTGTAACTCCAGCTTCAGGGAGCTGGTAGCTCAGGCCCACGAACATACAGACATACATATCTACATAGAATTAAGAAAAACCGATAAAGCTAGTACTTCTATTGGATAAATGCTGTCAAGTACTTGAAATTAATTTACCCTCTGCTCAAAACTGATAGGGATATAAAGTCAGTCACCACATATTTTAAAGCCGCAAACATTTGCAACAAATTTACTGTTTAACTACAGGACTGAGCCCTTCCCACCTAAGAGGTGGGAGCTATATAATCCATGCATGTAAGGGTTTTCAGCAGTGGGTACTTTGGGACGGGGAGGTACTGTGACCTCAGCTTCCTGGCATGACATGCAAGCATGTGGCCCAGAACCTCGAACAGGATTCAGGTCTGAGTATCCAGGGATTACGGGGATTAAACCAATTCACGTAACTCCTACATTTTTCAAAGACTTCCACTAATGTCTTGATTCATGGACTCAAGGACTTCTATGACTGGTCAGGATTACTGTCATGGTCTAGTAAAAGGCCACCATCCTCCTGCCTTGTGGGTCTTCATGCTCTTTTCTCAAAGTAGCCTCTTCTTATTTTATTTGGTTGATATTTAAGCTTTTAGTCTCAGATATAATGCTATTTCTTCAAGCCTTCCTTGACTCCATTCCCAAACCTAGTCCAGACTTGGTACTTCTGTGTATTCTTTCGTGGCATCTGTAAAATCAGGCAACCCTAGTCTCCCCAGTTAGACTATAAATTCCATGTGCAACGTGTTTATCACAAGTCTAACACAATTATTTATTTTCAGTTAAACCTTCCTTGCAAGAAAGGATTACAAATGAACATATAGTCAGAGGCATTACACTCAACAAACTCATGTGATTAAATGGCCACATAACCTATTTAATTGCCACAGGACACATTTTAGAAAAATAGCTTGCATTTCTTCTTATAGGAAAGGCAGCTAGCTGAGACCAGGCAACTGGAACTTGGCTGATTTCATCCATACCTGAAAGCAGTGGTTATTGGGAGGGGATGATGGAAAGATATACTCATCCAATACAGCACAGAGATTTAACTGGGTCCTGGCTCTGCACCTTTCCAGGTGAGCTACCCCTGGCAGAGAAACCTCTCTGTGCCTCAGGTTCTTCAGAGGAGGTTAACAGTAACATCTCTATAGAGTTATTGCTAGAATTAAAACATGACCGATGTAAAAAGTATGAGGCACAATGCCTGCACATAGAGAACACTTAGTAACAAGAGCTGTTACCAGTTCTTAAGATGTTAACGTTAATGTTCTCTCATGTAAGCCCTATAGGTCCCTCTGGACATACTAGGTGTAAATCCAAGACAATTACAGGCTATGTGGCCTAGTGCCTGCTCTCCAGGGAGCAAATCTTGGCGACTTCAATGCGTGGCTAAACATTAAGGCAGGAAAGAACTCGACAAGGTTCACACTTCATTTAATCTGAAGAATATTACAGGCTCTCTGTCTTCAGATATAAATTATAACAGTACAGAACAAGCAGCGAATTCGAACAATTTAAAAACTAAGTAAGTCTACACGGTGTTAATTTCTGGCAGGAATCTTGCCAATGTTCTTTTAAGTCACCCCTGCCCTCATTTCAGTAGACGTGCACCATGCCATAGAGGAATGTCCAAAAGAGGACGTAGGTGAAGAGGCCTCCGATGAGGCCTCCTGTAAAGAGAGGTCTTCGTGACTTAAAATATTTGTTCCACCTCCTTCCTGCTTTGAGAATCAGGAGCAAGGAGAGCAGGACGGAGGCAAGCAGGTAGAAGATGAAGCCGTAGAGGCCGGTGAGGCCGAGGATGCCGGCTGTGGCCCCCGACAGCGCTGACACTGAGGTCCGGCAGTAATCCAGGACGGCGGCGTTGCCTCGCACGGCCGCCTCGCTGACGAACGGCGGCCCTTCCCGCTTGGCCACCACCGCGGCCATCGCACCCGCCGCGGCTCGGCTTCTGCCTTCTCGCGGACTCACGCGGAACTGCGGAGAAAACCAAGTTACAAGTGGCGCCCGAAGCCCGGCGAGTTGAGCGCACGGCGCCTCCTCCCCCTGGGGCTTCCGCGCCTCCGACCCCGTGCCTGGGGCCTCTGATCTCCACGGGCCGCCGAAGCTGAGGCTCGAGCCGGCCTGGGACAGCAGCACGCCCGCCGGGCTCGCTGAGTTACCTGGAACACAGCGGCACACAGTCCCCTGTGCTTCCTCAGACAGGAAAAACTGGAGCGTCCCCCGCCGCCATCTTGCGCTGGAGACTGCTGGGAGGACTGAGGTTGCGCAGGCGCACAAACTCCGCCCGCGCCTCCACGCTTGCGCCCCGGGCACGCTCCTCCTCCCGCCCACAAGTCCTGGGACTCCCGAGAGCCGAACGGCGCTCTGGCTGCTGATTGGCTGGAGCCTTCTTAAGTATTCATGAGGGGGCGGGCCGAGCAGGGCTGCCCTTTGTTAACCAGGGAGGGCGCGGCCGCGGGCATTCTAGCTGCTGGTCTCACCGGGTGCTGTCGGCTTGTCAGTTTTGGGTCGAAATGTCCTACGTCCCTGGCCAGCCTGTCACCGCCGTAGTGGTGAGTGCGCTCGCGCGGGCTCCTTCTCCTCCTGGCTAACCCCCATTTCGCAGAGCGGCAAACTGACATCCTAGACAGGCTGAGAAAATATAGGAGCCAGGCGCCCGCGTGCGCTGCGGTGAGCAGAGCCCCAGTTTGGGCTTAGTGCTGCAGCCGTGCCTGCCCGGAGGAGTGGCTGGGACCTAAGAGCCTCCTGGGAGCTTGGGCAGAGGCCAGATCCCGTGCCCTGCCGCCGCCCGGTGGATACCTTTCAGTAGGCGCGGAACGGGAGGACGCAGGAGAAAGGCCGGTCCGTGGGAGTGTTAGAAAACTCCCCTGCCCTGGGCCTCCGTGTCCCCAGCTGGGCGGCCGTCGGGGGCGGGCGCCGACGTGAGTCGCAGCCTCTGGAATGAGGAAGCGTTTCCTCTGCCCCAGCCGGCAGTGCTGCCGCCGCCGAGCCGGAGGAGATTTAGGGGGTGGGGCTGGCCAGAGTTTGTCCTAGCAGCCCCTTCCCCCTTCTCATCCGGCCACGCTCTGGGGACCGACCCCTCGAGGGCTAAGGCTTGGTCTCTTGAACTTTTCAAGATACTCAGCCCTTGGTGCATGACAGTTAACCTTTTAGCCTTTTACCGGCTCGCCTGCTGGGTTTGTTTTGTGTATCAGGCGCAACAGGAGGGAGGGCGTAGATCTGAACACCAAGGTCACCGTCTGAAGGAGCCTGCAGACGTGGTTATGCTTCCCAGAGAGACGCTTCAGTGCTCAGCCATGAAGGAAGATTTCTGGAAGGAGCTAGATCTCTCCCCAGGCAGGGCCTTACTCTTAACTCTAAACTGGCCTTGAACTTCTGGCAGCCCTCCCGCCCTGGCCTTCTAAGTGTTGGAGTCACAGGTGTGAGTCAACAAGCTCCACAGTCCTAACTTTGGATCTGTAGGGATGGGCCATATTAGACTAGAGTACTGAGGAGCTCCCAGAGTCAAGAGGGTGGGGACGAGGCCTCTGATAAAGGTGGCTTGGAAGGGTGAGCTGAGCCTCAGCGCCGGCCTGGGATAGAGGGAACTATTTCTGGGCCAGTGGACAGCTTCCTGGTTTTCACTCCGCTTGTACAAGCCGGGTTTTTCTAGGATTCCTCCCTACTTGCTCCAGAAAGGAGTCCAGGCTTGACTCTATCTGGAAAAAAAGGGGGTAAGGACCTAGGAGAGCCATTTTGCTGCCTGACTTTTCCCTGAAACCAGTGACCGGGCTTTATCCCTTTTTGGACTTTGTTGTGAAGGTAGGTGTAAGATACACCTGGAGGTACTTACACTTTTGGGCAGGAAGCCCTACGCAAATGGGCCTTAGGATCATGTTTCTTCCTCTTCCCTCTTGGCAGGGCAGGCAGTCTTAAGGCTGTTGGCACAGTCCTCCAATCCTAATGGCAGGTGCATGCCTGAGCATAAGCAGGCAGATCTGGCCTTTGTAAGTCTTGATTGCTCATGGGGTGGAGATGCTTCCACCTAGTCTCACCCTCTCAAGTAGAGTGAACATCTTGATTTGGTTACAGCCACTTTACGGCCTTTCCCCTGCACTCTAGCCCCAGAGATCTGCCTCCAGGACCTGTGCAGAAGGCTCCTGACACTGCACTCTACTGGGTTCCCACAGTGATGGTTGTGTTCATCTAGACTGGTTCTCAAACTTCCAAATGCTGTGTCCCTTTAATACAGTTCATGTTGTGATACCCTCCCTCCCCAAATTACTTTTGTTGCTACTGCCTATTGTTTTACTACTGTTATGAATAGCAATGTAAATATGTTTTCTGATGGTCTTAGGTGACCCTTGTGAAAGGGTCATTCAACCCTGCACCGCAGGGTCAGTACCCACAGATTGAAAAGCATTGATCTAGACATGATAGGGTATCCTGCTTCAGTTCCTCATGGTCAGTTCTTGTTTGTGGATCACCACTTATAAGCAGCGCATGCTCTCAGGCCTCCATATCCTACCCATGAATCCATCCCCTACTGATAACTCCAGAGGCCATCCTAGCATCAATGCCTTATCCTACTCCTGCCTTCTTTTTGAGTACCAGTAGGTTAAAGATTGTGGTCCGGTGGTGACACTATCATTTCTCAAAGCTGGGTACAAATGATCCTACCTTTGCTGAAGCCTTTTGAAGTCCAGAAAGTTACCGCTACTGCTCTCTGTTAAAATTCTCAACTTTGGAGGAAACCTCTAGTGGCTGCAGGATGCTTTCTGAGGCTCCTCAAAGGCCTCAGTTGGAGACCTCAACCCCAGAGAATGCCTGAGAGCCCTGGAATACTGTTACACCGCATGCACACACAGGACCTGAGGATTGGGGAGATTATATGACTAGCCTACACCCCACAGTCTCATCTTTCAGCCCCATCTCTCTAGTCCCGTGCCTGTGCTTGGCACACTTGTCTCCTTGGCCAGGAAGCACTTCTCTACTTATCCCATGTACTTCCTGGCTTGCATGATCTCTGGTATGGCTTGTTCAGCAATCTGAGCTGCCTCAGCAAGTGTCTGCACCTTCTCAGGGCTTGATCTCCTGTTCTGGGTGGTTCCCTCTGCCCCCAAAAGATGGGCATCTTTTCTGTAGTAGCCACAGTACTCTCTGCCTCTTAGACAAGAGCAGGCCCAGAATACATATTGATCAAGGATGCAAAATGGGTGGGAAAAGTTGCAGGCAAAGGGTATATGTGTGTGTGGGGGTCTATGTGGCTGTGTTGAGACCCAACTGCCAACCTCCCAGACAGCTGATCAGTTGGATTTCTGCAGAGGGCCCTGAGCCCCAACCTCTTGGCATAGTTCTAAGCTGGCCAAGCAATGTGAAGTTGCTGCTGGGCACAGAGATTAATCTCTCTCCACTTACCTACCCATTACCCTCAACTAGTTTTTTCTTTCACCAGCAAAGAGTTGAAATTCATAAATTGCGTCAAGGTGAGAATTTAATCCTGGGCTTCAGTATTGGAGGTGGAATTGACCAGGACCCTTCCCAGAATCCCTTCTCGGAAGATAAAACAGACAAGGTGAGCAGTACTATGGTCCCAGACCTCCCCACGCAGCACAGAAGCCTGAGGTGGCAGCTTTTTTCTTCCTGGGCCTGTGTGGAAAGAACAGACTCTCCCCCCCTCCCCCCCTTAGACAATCCTAAATGATCTGGTGGGATTAGGTAGAAGGCGTGCTGAGACAGCGTGGAAGAGCAGAGGTGCCATCATCAGTACTGGCCCCCTGGCTGTCACGGCACAGTCCATGTGGTGTATGTGTTGGTAGGAAAGGTAGGGACAGGGACAAAGGACTTTCTGAGAATATGTCAGGAGGGGCTCTGTGGGTGGAGAGCCAATGTAGTGCCCACAGGACTTTACCTGCATTGCCTCTTTCCAGGGTATTTACGTCACACGAGTGTCTGAAGGAGGTCCTGCTGAAATTGCCGGGCTGCAGATTGGAGACAAGATCATGCAGGTACAGTTGTCCCAGGGGAGGAAAACAAGGTCTGGATGAGAGGGCCTGAAGCACTTGGGTTTAGGGCTGACCTCAGAGCTTCATAGAGAGGAGCACCTCATTGAAATGGGTTTCAGAAGCTATGCTGATTTTGCCCCTAAGGAAGCTGGTTGTCCTGTGTGCCTCTGCTAGAATGCTGGGCATCTCAACTTTAGGGGATATTAGCCTGGGGTCCTCAAAACCCTGTTTCCAGATTCTAGAGGGTGAAGAGCTGAGGAGCCTGTGTTTTCTCCTTGGACCAGGTGAATGGCTGGGATATGACCATGGTCACTCATGACCAAGCTCGGAAGCGGCTCACCAAGCGCTCGGAGGAGGTGGTGCGTCTGCTAGTGACTCGGCAGTCTCTGCAGAAGGCTGTACAGCAGTCCATGCTGTCTTAGCAGTCGGCCAGTCTTGACGTGTGCCTGCCAACCTTTTTGTACAGTGACAACACATCCACGCTCTGTTGTATTTCTTTCTGGCTTCTGCTGTGTGCTGGGTCCCAGCTCTGAGGGTTAATGACTGATCCCAAAGGTCCAAGCCAACCTTTCTATCCCTCACCCCCCAGTCAGAGGCCACGGGACCAGTGCTCTCTCTTGGATACTGAGGATTGGAAGTAAGGGCCTAGAGTAGTATCCAGTCTTCAGTAACCATAGTCTCCATCCGAGACCAGCTCCTTGACCACAGCAGGGGCTGAGCAGTCAGGAAACACCTCTGAGAGCTGCCAAAGCTTGAAAATGCCAGGCTGGGCCATTTCCCCTATTTGCTCTGGTTGACGGGCTTGGCCCTGCCCTGTGTCATCTCCATCTCCTCAGTGCCTCTCCCCATAATTCCCCTATCATGGTGCCCAGCCTGGGGCTGGACCCACATATGCCAGAGACAGCATGAAGGCCACCTGGATGGAAGAGGGCAGGCTCCCACTACCTTCATTCCCCTAATGGGTGCTGGCCTCCCCAGGGTCTACCTGCTTACATGATTTATACAAGTTTCGAGACTGACATTTCAGGGCAGCTCTCAGAATTGCCATTTTTCTCTACACCTGTGGATTTAGCTTTTGTATTTTTTAAGTCTCAACTTTGATACAAAGTGTTTTTATCTTACTGTTTGGAAAAGCCAATTCTCCTTTTGAATTTAGCTTACTAATTCACACACCTGGAAGCAGCAACTTGTAGCATGTGACCAAGCCAGTTGGTTACTATGGAAATGGGAAAGTATGATGCTATCCCATGCTCAACACTTGTACCCAATAAACAAAGCTGGAATTCACCAGGGGTTTCTGCTGAGATGCTGGGTGTCTCGGAGGGTGGTTTGGTTTTAAGGATGTCTAGCCTATCATCTCCTGTTCTGGGGCAAAGCCCAACTCCTAGGCCTATTTGTTTCTGCTGGTACCTTAGAAACCTCACTGGGGTACACTATGCCTTTGTAGAGATGCTTGTGGAAATGTCTGCAAGCGCCTTTACTGCCGTTATGGGGATTCTGGAGTGTGTCTGTCGTAAGTGTCACAGTGAAACACTCATGTGCCTCTCGTGTAGCATAGCTTCAGTTCCCACTTGAGAGGAACCTCACAGGCACATGGGTTTATGAGAGAACCCAGACGTTTGCAGGGGCTGGGAATTCTAGGCAGATGTCACTCAGGGGCTTGCCTATCACTGCCAAATCAGAAAGTGTAAAGGGAAGCCCAGAAGGCTGGAGGTGTGAGTCAGTGATAGAGTGCGTCCTAGCATGCTCAGCGTCTAGTTTTAGCCATAGCACCCTCTCCTAAAGAAAGTCCGGAATTTAAAATCTGTTTTTAAAGGGTAGCACCTTTTATTTCTCTTTTTTTTCTGGTGCTGTTGAACTATGGGCCTCAAGCCTGCACTCTAGGCAAGCATTCTGCCAGTAAGCCACATTCCTAACTTACCCTTTTTGAGACAGTCTTGCTACATTGTTTAAGCTGGCCTTGAAATGTGGCCTCCTGCCTCAGCCTCCTCCATACCTGATGTTATACTACTGTGTCCAGCCCAGTAACACATTAAAAAAAAAATCACTGAGAGAGCTATGGGCTTGAACAGGCTGTATTCTTGACTCTAGGAAACAAGACTTTAACTTAGAGATGTTTCAGTCTATGGAATAAGATCTTCACCACCCCTGCTTCATGCCCCACCCTGAACCTTCCAAGCCCTGCTCCCATCCATAGGCTGAACATGCTTATGGTACCTTGACACTGCCAGGTAAGGCACTGGGAAATAAACCTACCTGGCTCTGGCTGGGTAGGCATTCTGAACCCATGAGGTCTTTTCTGGTCCAGTGTGGGTCAACTTGCAGCCACCTCAAATCAATGTACTCCACAGCCCTGTGTACTTCACATAGGTAAGCAAGTCCTCCAAGCCCCAAGGACTTGGTTCTGAAGGCCAGCCCAGACTGCCTTCAGCATCTAGTAAATGTCCAGAGTGTACAAACAGGAAACAAGCCACCTTTTAATTAAGGACACATACTTCACCAAAATGAAACAAGAAAATGCAAAAGAAAGAAACACAAAGGCCCCCCAATATTAGTCTTATAAAAAAAACAAAAAGAACATATTGATAAACTTAAGGCACACCCTGGTTCCTTCCCAACTGACAGGAAGGACAACTTGGGATGAGAAGGAAGGAGGTTTGGGATCAGGGTGGAACCAAAAGCAGTATAGGAGGTGAGCTCCTATTCTTCTGAGGCTCCTTAACAGCTAAGAAATTGTAGTCTCGGTTTGGGCTGGGGAAGGAGGCCTGCCTGCATCTAGAGGAGCTACTCTTACTGCTGCTGGGCCTCTAAGGCACAGGCTGGCACTGAGTGCTGCTCTCTAGGCATAAGGTTAGGAACAGTGCTCAAAGGGGGCTCCCTCTGACTCATAAAGTGAGGTAGGGAAGAGGGTAAAAGAAAACAAGCCATTTCAAAATATCCCTTGGGGGTTAAAAAAAAATAAAAAAGAGGTACTGTGATATCCGTCTTTGCATGTAAAGATCCAGAGGGTAGCAGGTGTGGGTCCACTTGAGACCGATCTGGCAAGCACCTCAGGAATCAGAAATACACTTTATCAGGCATTGGCCTGGGCCACAAATTCTGTAGTTACTGGAGCAGAGTTATATAGAATGAGTATCAGAAATGTGGCCTCCAGAGAAAGCCCAAAGCCTAACCCCAGTCCTCACCCTTCCACCACCAGCATCAGCACCTTCAAGTCCATTGGCCACAGCACTGGTCCCTGTGAACACTGCGGTAGAACAAAGCACCTTTGGCTCTCCCAGCTGCAAGGTTAGCCCTTGAAGCTGCTCCCAGAAACACTGGTGGTTTGGGGCAGGGCCATCTGCTGCAAACTTGGTGCCTAGTTCTGGCTGGGATGGCTGTCGGGACCTGTGCGTGCTGCCTGAACCCTTAAAGAAAAGAGAGATGGCATATCAAGATGCAGGAGGACTGGGTGCCTCCCAGGAGAGGGCTACAACTTTAGTTGGGAGAGACTGGCTTTCAGTCTTGGAGCAGAGTCAGGTGTCTGTCCCAGGGAGGGAGTCCTTTATGGCTCAGGAGGGGCCTGGGCGGAGGCAGGCAGGCTGAATTTAAGGCATTTGGCCCCTGAAGAAGAGTGCTTCTCTGTTGGTACACTATTCCAGCCTGTACACCAGCTGCTTCTTGGGCCTTTGCTGGACACAATCTTTCCTAACAGGGCCCAGGCCCTGGCTGTTTATAGTGGGCCTCTGGGATCTAGTTCAGTTGGTCGTACCCCAGTTTCTTTTTGTACAAACAGAAGTGCTGGGTGAGGAAGACAACATCAAAGAAGATGGTGAAGACGCCAAGTCCGAACTTGGTTGGGTCTCCGAAGATCAACATCCACTGGTCTGTCAATAGCCAGAGGGGATAGAATCTGTTTTTAGGCTAGTAGCTCCTAAGGCTGGATGTGGCAGGGTGGGGATGGGAGATGTGAGGACTCCCCCCCCCCACACCCATTTGCCCAGGAAACAGCACAACCTAGGGGTTCCCGGGAAGGCCCTCCCTCCTGTGCTTTCACTCGCTGGGTAGAGGTGGCTTTGACAGACTCACCATTATTGTAAGACTGCAGGAACATCTGGAGGAGGCTAAAGCTGCCCCCTGTGAAGTCCAGAAGCACACCGCCAATGCTCCAGCCCTCAGTGCTTTTGTAGTAAAAGTTCATGTAGGCCTGGGGATAGACAGATGGAAGGCTGTGGGAGGCCAGACATAGCACACATGCCTTGTGGCTGCTGCTCTAAAGGAGATCTGCTGATTCTTCCCGCTCAGGCACTAGGCTCTGAGCTCCAAAGAACACCGTGCTCTCCGGGCTTTGAGCGGTAGCTGGGGACACAGTACACATGCAGGGCAAGTGAAGCACCCTCTCCCCTCTCCTCCGCCGCCGCTGGACTCCAGTGGCTGAGGATGGGGCAAGGCTGCCTGGTTCTCAACCTCTTAAGAGTAGACGCAGCCCTCTCTAATTTTTTTTGTTTGTTTACTTTTTAAACTGGCATCCCTACATAACCCAGGCTTGAACTCAAGCTCCTTCTGCCTCAGCTTCCCAGAGACTCCAAGTATTAGGATTATAGGTGTGCCACTGTGTCTCACTGGGATTCTGATTCTTCACAGCTCCAGTGATTCTGTCCCTAATCTCAGCCTGGACTCCATAAACTTGTGGAATGTGGCTGGAAGCTAGATTTTGGTGTGGAATCAGCTCTGGCACTGGGGCTACTGTGGAAAAGCTACTGAGTCCTTTAGTTCTGCCACCTGTAAAGTGGCCCAGCTGCCACCTCTGACCTGCCATGCTACCTGGTCTCCTAGACATTCCCCTTTTCTTGCTGCTCCAGCCTTAAATTCTTCCTCCAAACCCACAGTGCCATCTGAGCATCTCTGGCTGGCACTATCTCCTTTCCTACTATCCAGCAGAGATCTTGGCCTTTTTGGTGGTTTTCTGGTTCTACTCCTGACCTTTCTCATTCTATCCCATACTTGCTGTTCCTCCTCTAGTACCAGGTAATTCCAAATGTCTCCCATGGATGTTCCTGTATCAGTTTCCCAGACTTAAGCCTTACCACATGTGGGGTGCCCAGAGCCTGGGCTCTCTATGCAAATTCCCTGGGACCTGGGCCTAGCTCCATAGTTTCTACATTTTCCACATTGCTCAGCAGCCAGGTCTCCTCTGCAGGCTGCCAGGACCTGACAGTACTCTCTACTGTCTCCAAAATTCAGACTCTACTTCTGCCTCCAGCCAATGCTGAAGCTCTAGCCCAAGGGACATACGACTTTTAACACTGAAACTTCTCAATTGGGGAAGAGTTCAAGGTGGCCTAGAATTCATGTAGGGATGCCATTTCTTTACACCAGGCTTTAGCTTGAGGCCATTATGCTCGCCAAGGAGGACATGTATGAGTCTAGGCCCCAGGACCAAGACTGGACTATAAAGACTGGGCAAGGGAGTATGCTGAGGGACCTCCTGGGAGAACATCTCTACAAAGGAGAAGGCCACAGCAGTCAGCTCCCTTCTCTGTCTGGTCTGCTCTGATTCCCCTGCCACTGGTCCTTAAGGATGGCTATTGTGGTAGGCGGGCAAGAGAGAAATCCAGTGTTATCAGGAAAGACATGTAAGTCTGGCTGCAGGAAGGAGCAGGCAGTGGTTCCTATTGGCTTCCTGCCACTCTGGGCTCACCAGCTTCTACTACAGCTTTCTACCCTGTCTCCTTAGCTTGGTGAAAGCTGCCCTGTGGGGGGCAGGGCCTCTCACATTACCAGCCATATGGAAATAGAGGAAGACTCTGGAGTACCTGTGGAAAATACTTGATCAGCGTGATGATGAGCTTGATGTAGGAGAAGCAGAAGAGGAACTGCAGCCACGTGGTGACACCGACTGCAGCCATGATCATGGTGACTAAGACAAAGAGCCATGCAAGGACCAGGAATCCAACAGAGGGCCATGACACATGCTGGTTGCCTCGCTGAGGACGAGATGGGTGAAGTTTGTAGATTGCTTCAGGGTTTCAGGAAGGGATGGCTTTGGACAGGGGTACAGGATGGGTGGGAGGGGAGGGTTGGAGGCAGAAGCCTGGTCTTAGTATAACCTGTGTAAAGAAGGGGCCAAGAGCACTAGAGTATGTCTGCACAAGGCCAAGGTAGGAGACCAAATCCAGAGATCATTGGGCCTATGTGGGTAGTGAGTGAATCAAACCAGGGCTGGGATGAGGTGTGGAGTCCCTAACACTAGCCCCACTTTTTTACAGTCAAGTTCTCCTGCTCCATCCACGTTGACTCCTCCACCCACTGCTGACCAAGTTTCAGCTTCCCAGAGTTGGATACCTCAGAGCTCATTTGGAGGGAGCAAGCAGTGCAGGGGTTGGAGGCCCAATACCTCACCTAGCCCTGCTGCCAGCTCATTCCATTACCTGTGAAACCTGGGGACCCTAGAATCTCTCCTCACCCCAGCTTTTCTCTAGACATGGTCCCAAAGTGAGGCCCCTTCAGCGTCACAGTAAAGGTGTAAGAAAACCAAGCTTCATGAGAGTCCCACAGCCCCCACTCATCTTAGGGCATTAGGAGGGTGGTGGTGAAACACTGGGGTACGCCTATGAAACACTGGGACTTCTAAAAGGCGCCCTTGTACCATGCTGCAACCACAGAGGGCTTTTTAGTGAATCTGATTTCAGCTGAATCCAGGTTCCCCCTGACCTCCCAGGAGTTGACTCCCCACTGGTACCCCTAACCCAGGCCATTCCCATCTGCTCATATTTTTCCTCACTCCATGCTTAATGACCTTCCCTTCCCCTAAAAGAAGCCTCACTCACCCTTGGCCCATAAACACCATTTTCTTGACACATTCCCTCAGTTAAGCAAGGCACAGGACAGGAAAGGCCTTGGTGGAGGTTGGCTTAGATCGCCAGGCCTCATTGCTTACCTCATATAGGCAGCACTGCAGGGTGAGAATCAGGGTGAGGGCGACTGCATGTAAGCTGAAGAAGACATCATTACTGTTGACAGGGTTCACGCCGTTGGGGTGCTCGAGGAGAAACTGCTCCTGTTGGGACGTGAGGAGAAGCTGAGAGGTGAAGAGAAGCAGAGTTGTCCAGGGGCTAGGGTGGGCTGTAGGGAGTGGGCAGCGCTGTACCTGGATATAGGGCACCCATAAAAGGCCGATGTTGAAAACGCTGTAGGCCACGAAGCCTGTCAAGTTCAGAGCTAAGAAGTCAAAGCTGAGACCAACAACACTGCAGAGGGGCAGAGGGGAACAAAGTAGGGCAGGGTGAGGCAGGGAAGCCCTGGGATGGGAGGGGCATAGCTCCTAGCACATGGGAATGGAGGCCCAAGCATCATCCTTCCAGGTCTCTCCATTTCCATAGCAGGTACCATTCAACTGGCTCTTCTCCCCTCCCATACTCCAGAGGCTTCTCCTGGAGGCCTCTAGGGGAGAGACAGAACCCATTTCCTTGGCTCACTGCTTAGCAGTCTCCTCTGAGACCTGAGACCCAGGTGAGCTATGTTCTTGGCCCCAGGTCTACTTTTACTTGGTCAAGTCACAGCTGATGTCCAGCCTTTCAGGGCCAAGGAGCTTCAGGGCAGACTTTCCCTTACTCAGCTTAGCTGAGAAGCTCTTATGTCATTGTTCCCATAAGGAAGGGCTGAACGGGGCAACGAACCAGATATCTAGCACGGGAAATCTAACCCTACTGCAGACAGAAGTATAGAGGGGTGTCTTCCTGCAGCCCATCATGGGCCTGCAGGGACAGCTCTAAGCTGCGCAGTTACCTTTTCCGCCTCCAGTTCTGGATCACCTGTGGGTAGAAGGAGATGGACCAGGCCATGAAGTAGATCCAGCCAATCACCTGGTTTATGATGCTAATGATTCTGCTGTGTATCACCAGGAACCGAATCCTGGGGCTAGAGAGGAGTGTGGGGTCAGGATGCATTTGGCGAAGGTTTTGGAGGAAGCCCTCTTGCACATCTGTGCATAGCTACCCTTCCCACTATATAAGGCCACATGGGTGGGGGTAGATACCAGCCTACCAGGTCTGGTTGGAATTATTTCTGTGCAGATAAACAGTCACTTGTCCAACATTTTGAGAAGTCACTTCGAAAGAGGCGTTTTTCTCTCCACGAGGCACTATAACCTGTTAGGAAGACTGAATTTGATCTGTGGCCATGTACAATTAATTATAGGGTTTGGCTCTAGGCTGGGAACTAGGAAAAGGGGAGGGACACATCATTCAATTTTTTTTAACGTTTGCAATTTATTTATTTATTTATCTATTTATTTATTTATTTATTTTATTACAGTTTATTCACTTTGTATCCCAGCTGTAGCCCCTCCTCCATCCCCTCCCACTCTCCCTCCCTCTTCTTCTCCTATGCCCCTCCCCCAGTCCAATGATAGGGGAGGTCCTGCTCCCCTTCTATCTGACCATAGTCTATCAAGTCTCATCAGGACTGGTTTCTTTGTCTTCCTCTGTGGACTGGAAAGGCTGTTCCCCCCTCAGATAGAGGTGACCCAAGAGCCAGCCCATCAGTTCATGTCAGAGACGGTCCCTGGTTCTATTATTGGGGAACCCACTTGGATACTGAATTGCCTTGGGCTACTTCTGTGCAGGGGTTCTCCGTTATATCCATGCATGGTCCTTGGTTGGAGTATCAGTCTCAGAAAAGACCCCTGTGCCCAGATTTTTTGGTTCTGTTGCTCTCCTTATGGAGCTCCTGTCCTCTCCAGGTCTTTCTGTCTCCCCTCTTCTTTCATAAGATTCCCTGCACTCTGCCCAAAGTTTGGCTATAAGTCTCAGCATATGCTTTGACACCGTGCTGGGTGGAGTCTTTCAGAGGCCTTCTGTGGTAGGCTCCTGTCCTGTTCCCTGTTTTCTCCCTCTTCTGGTGGGACTCATCATTCCTGGTTCTGCTTTCTGAGAACTTACTAACCATGTACAAGAAGCACTGCCAGCCAGCCTAAGCCCCACTCTGCCACGTTTCCACCTGGCTTCCTGGCAGAACAGCAGGCTGCTCCTTGGCTCTCCCTGGATAACTACCAAAGGAGTGTAGGAAAGCTTTTTCCCTTCATTAGCCACCTCACTATACTCATCTGTACATGGGATCACACCAGTGCCTACCTCATAGGGCTGCTCGGAATGATGTGATGTCCCCAACACCTACAGTACAGAGATGGGCACATGGTGGGCCTGGGAGCTCTCATGATGGAACTATGAGAGCAGTATTATTGCTGTTTCCATTATGGTGGTGCTCGGTGAGACTTATAATTTTTTGGTTCTGTTGCTTAAGCTCTGCCTCAACTGCCTAACAACAAAGCAGAAGAGGTGCGAACACAAGATGCTCTTGTGGTTATTCCTGCTTGATATTTAACAAAAGCTTTGTTCCTGGGATTTGGGCTTGGAGCCTGCTTGTGCTATCTGATTTTTTCCGTCATCTTCCTGCCACACTGAAATCCCCTCAGAGAAGCAGGGAGGTGGACAGCATCTTTATGGAACCAAACTGTCCCACTTTACCCATGACATTCTAGGTCCTACCCTCAACCTATGCTGTAAGTGCCAAATGGGTGTGGCTCATTAAAAAAATAGTGGTTTCTTTCTCTAGCCCCCTCTCTAATTTTCTAAGACAAAGTCCTGCTATGCAGCTCTGGTTGGCCTGCAACTTTGTAGCCCCAGCTGACCTCAGATTCACAGAAATCCCCTTGCCTCAGTCTCCTGAGTGTTGGAATTTATAGGCACAAGCTGCCACATCTGGACGCTCCACCCCACTGTTGCCTTCTATGACCCCTCCCCCACTCCACTAGACTTTGAGATCATCCTGCTTTCAGCTACCAAGGGATGGAGTGTCAGACTAGCAAGGCATCTTACTGAAGACTTCGGAGGCCCTGCCAGGTCAGTGTGAACCATTGTATACTTGCTGCTATTGCTTTTAAACCCCAGAGTATGGTCCAGGAGACGTGATGAACCCTGTGCCTACAAATGAAGAAAACACTGGCTGACCCAAGGCTTCTATGATGAACTCTTAGACCACACGGCTCCTAGGTTCTAACCACTGGCTTCTTATATCACAGGTACAGGACAAGAATGGTTAGCTCTAGACAGGGAAGGGCAGTCAAACAGGAGCCTGAGAAGGTGAGTTCAGGTGTTCATAATGATCATGGTCCACAAATGCTCTGGCTTTGACTCCCACTGCTAATTAAATAGAAAGCTTGCCCTGTAGTATATATTCAGAGAAGAACACCCCTCACAGCTGGATGGAGTGTCTACAGACTACACACACCAACCTCCATTCTGCTCCCCTCCAGTCTCTTGACCCTGAGGATAACAACTGGCCTGACAGCAGTTTTTGTATTTTACATTTAAGGAACCTTCCAGCCCATTTTTTTGTGTTGTGCTTCTTTTGCCTGATGTTTTTGACTTTTGTTTATTTTTACAAGTGGAGACCTTTACTTAGACATCCACACCTAGACAAGTTTAACTGATGTCTGTTCCTCTGAGAGTCTACACGTGGTCTTCAGATCAAGCAAAGCTTAGAGGCCTTGCACCAGACCTGCTGTTAGGCCAGTGTCTTTCATCGTACTACATAGTACTACTACATCGTACTACAGCCCTCAAGCCCGGTGTGTGTGTGTGTGTGTGTGTGTGTGTGTTACGAGTGCACATGTTGGTGCCAGGGATTGAACCTAAAGCCTCATGTATGCTAGGTAAACACTTTACATTGAGAACCTCCTCATTTCCTACAATGTTCTCTCTCTCTCTCTCTCTCTCTCTCTCTCTCTCTCTCTCTCTCCCTGGTTTATTCGAGACAGGGTTTCTCTGTGCTGTCCCGGAACTCTCTTTGTAGACTAGGCTGGCCTTGAACTCACAAAAATTCGCCTGCCCATTTCCCGGGATTAAAGGAGTATGCCAGCACACCTGGCTTCCTAAAATGTTTTAAAGCAAGGCTGATCCTTTCTATCCATGGATGTTCAGAGCCTTGAAATATCTTTAGAACTTCTCCACTCTCAGAACCACCTTTGCTCTAGGCTTCTTTTTTGCACCCAACTATACACCACACCTTATTGTTATTAATCACGGTTAGGCTGTAGGATTGACCCCTGAAGCTATTCATCTGATTGGATGAAAGCTTCCAAACTACACCACAGAAAATGCTCATCCTCAGAGACAGCAACAAAGCCCAAACCACTTTCCAGGATGATGGTACGGGGCAGCCTAGGTGACTTGTTTCCATAAGCTTTAAAATAAAGTGTTCTGTCGTCTAGCATCATCTTAAGTGTTTGTAAAGGTCTGTTACTCACTTCATCAGGAAGTTCCAGAATAGTAAGATTTTTTGAACGAAATGTGATTTCAAAAGTGATCACCAAGGTTGCATTTAATGGATGCCTGTGGAGGATAAGAGCCTGGTTACTGTTGGGAAGTTGGACCCTGTAAGACATCAAACAAGCCTCTGGATTTCACCCCAGGCCTTCATTTCTCTAGAAATCAGGACTAGGAAGAGCAATGTGCTCAGACTACACACATCCAACCTCCAGGTCAAGAAATGAGCATTTCCAACACCCCAGAAGCCCTGTTCTGCTCCCCTCGTCTCCTGACCCTGAGGATAACCACTGGTCAGGCAGCATGGAGTCGCTGTTTTTATATTTTATACACAAATGATCTGACAGCACAGAGTTTTTCTGTGTTGGGATTCTTTTCAATAGTATTATGTCTTACTTCCATTTATTTCTATAAGAGAATATCTTTACCTAGATATCTACCCTTAAACTGGAGTGGTAAGAGGTGAAGTCCTGTTCCTGCTCTATCAGGAGTCTAGATGTCCTTCTGGGCAGGGTGAGGACCCACGAAGGTGGAATTTTGGCTGTGAATAAGGGGGGCAAGTAGAGGGGACAGGCCTATGGCTCTCTGCCTCAGTGGGAAAGGCTCCTTTGGTAAGGTCAGGTGTGAGCAGGACGTTGTGCAAAGGTCAGCAGGGAAGGAATGAGACGAGGCTCTTTGGGAGCAGCCATGGGAGCCTCAAATGTAGGAAGCCATTTAAGGATTGCAGAGAGGGGAGAGGAGGAGGAGTCCTATAACCTGGATAGCTTACATGATGTAGGTATAAAGGATAGAGCCAGAGGCCTGGGGACCAAAGCTTGGTTTGAGCTCAGGCTTTACAGGACATGTGAGGAGTAAAGGACACCAGGTCAGCTGGGAGCTGGAGGCATGGTAGGGCAGTGAAGGTCATGGTAATAGAGGAGAACCTTCTGGTAGAGGGTGAACCCCCCTAAACCATCAGGTGTCAGCAAGTAAGACTCTTGGACAAAGGCCAAGTGTGGGCAGGGACATGTGGGACGGTCACTTTTGCTTTGATAAGTGACCTCGGCAGTGCTGTGCTGGTTGGCATCTCAGCTCCTTGCCCCTTCCTCTTTAGGACTCTGTTCAAATGTTTATTCCTGGGAAGGGTTTTGAAGTCTGGCATCACCTGTGACCACCTGAGGACTCTTCTCAATAGAGGAAACAGCTCATATTTTTAGGAAAAAGTGTCTTCCTCCAAGTGGAAACAAGGACTCTGAGTGTGTGTTTGACTCTGGGTCTCTGCTCTGCACTCATGGGCTTAAACTACTCTTTTTTTATGTTCCACACCAAAGAGGTAAGAGCATCACACTTGAAGTGCATGCAGATTGAGCCAGAGGTCAGTTCTAAGTGGGGCTGAGGACAGAATTGGGTCTGAGAACTTACCCAAGGGTGATGCTGACATTGGCTGAACTGCCATTTTCCAGCTTCACCGTGGAAGGAACGGTGAGACTAACAGTTGACTCTGGAAAGAACCAAGTTAATGACATGAGACACCAGGTCAGAGAGCTCAGCTCACAAGGAGACATGGACAGCAGGGCCTGCCATGTGAACCCATGAGCCCCTGACTCACTGACAGTACTGCTTCCTAGGTCTTCTTCCAGACTTACATCATGCCTGCCCGTTTGTGCATCAGGGCCAGACTGCCACAGGCTAGAGCAGGAAGTGCTGAACTTCCCCCTTCTTCTGCTTTGTGGACAATCTGAGCTCCCCAGAAATAGTTTGGAAACTACGCAGCCCAAAAGTTATATATATATATATGAAATTCAAAGCAACATCTGTGATTGTAAAGGGGAGAGTCATTACCTACCTCTGCAGATGAGCAGCAAAGTATCACCTCTGAAAGACTGATCTGGTATCATTCTTACATTCAGAGATGGGCACATAGCCTGGCCAACATGTTTCTAAAGAACCTTCTGGGCTTTCCTGCAGACTCAGCTCAACTCATGCATGGTCCTTTCCTGAGACTGTCTATCTGCTGGATCTAGAGGAGAGTGGCGAGGGCCATATACTTCTCATTATCAGGGCTTGCTTCTTGGCATTAAGGTGCTAACTCAGGGGAAGGGGGACAAACAGGCCACCAGGGTGAGGGAGGAAGCAGGTTTGGGTCTTAGAAAACCATTTTAGGGTGAGAGGTAGATTAGGAGTGCAGCTGAAAGGTAGAGCACACGAGCAGCAGGCACAAGGCCCTCAATCCAATCTCCAGCATGGAAAAAAGAGGAAGATCAGTTTGGGAGATCAAATGCCCCAGCACACTGTGGTCACAGGGCACAGCTGGCTGCTTCCTTGAGTGATTCCTGTATTCTCTGGGCACCTCCCTTGCCACTATGCCATCCCCAAATGTGCTCAAAGCTTTAGGCATGTCTGCCCATCTCATCTCCCCTGTGTCACAGACTTCAAGGATATGCACATCCTAGAAGTCACAATCAGGGATCCAGTCTAGGAGCGGAAGATGGCTCTCATAGGGGTAGAGGCTTCACACCTCTACCCAGAGCCCTCCACAGCAAGGATGAAGAACTGGATTGGAAGGAACTTCTGTGCCTCCTCCAACCTCAACTGCTTTCTCTCTTCTACCTGTAGTTTTTATTCTTCTGCCTTGACACTTCCTGCGAGAGTCACCTCATCTCCCAAGGTGCTCACTAGCTTGAAAGTCACAGTTCTAGGCCAACCTCTCCCACATCTGAGCTGCTTTATCCAGCTTAGGCCCCTTGTGTAAACGCAGATGTTGGCTGTCCCCAAGGTCCACGTATTTCAGATGTGACCCTTCATAATACACAGTCTCTTATCCCCTCACTGGATGGATTCTTTGGGGTAGACTGGTCCCTGTAGCCTCACGGTCTGGAGGCTGCTATGCCAACTCAGTCCTGCCTGCTATCCTAACTCCATCCAGCCTGCTATCCTACTCTGTCCTGCCCACTCTGCCCATTATGCTATCAATCTGAGGCTTTGTTCTGGGCTTGCCCAGCTAGCGGAGTACAGGGCTTTCTATTCCTGTCTATTAAATTTATTTACAGCTCAGGACTACAGCAGATAAGTTAAGTCCCAGAGCAATAGAGCACACACACACACACAGACACACACACACACACACACACACACACACACAGGTGTGTGTGTGTAAGACATTTAAAGGGATGTCAGGGAGTTATACTTTCCAGTCTTTGCATATTAAAGTGGGAAGGTGGGAGCTTTCAAAGAACCAGATCAGAGAGTATTTAAATCCTCCTCACTCAGTACTGCAGAAAACACTAGTGCTCCAGCAAATGAGATCATAGTCTCTAAAGTCACAGTTCCTTACTGGCTTTGACACTTCTTAGCTTTGTAAACCCACAGGAAGGTATTTTAGGGGTAAGCCTACACCTGTACGACCTCACCTGTTAAATGGATGGAATAGGACCTATCTCACAGATAAAATGCAGAACGGTTAGCAGCATGCTTTCTACTGTTTACCTGGCCTCACTGCTAAATAGTTCTACTACTGTTATTACTTTACAGCTAATTGCAGGGTATTTTTAGCCTGAGATAGGAGGCAGCTGGAAAGCTGTATCAGATCCTAGGAAAGTGTATTTTTAAGTGTTGAGTAGGAGCTTCTATATGTCTTATCAGAATTTCCAGATGAGCTGTGGCAAGATCACCTTGTTTAGTGTAGAGCAAATTATCAATCTCCTCTCAGTCTTGTTCTTTTTTTCTTTTCTTTCGAGACAGGGTTTCTCTGTGTAGCCTTGGCTGTTCTGGAACTCGTAGACCAGGCTGGCCTCCTGGTCTACAGAGATCTGCCTGCCTCTTCCTCCCAAGTGCTGAGATTAAAGGCATGCACCACCACTGCCTGGCCCATCTCATTCTTTCATCCAGACTAGAGACTGAATGCAGGTCCTCGTACAAGTGATCTACACTGGCCAGAATGGAGCCACTGCTTTTATATTTTATACACAAATGATCTGACAGCACAGAGGCTTTTTTTTTTTTTTTTTTTGCAATGATATTATGCTTAACTTTCATTTATTTCTATAAGAGAATGCCCTTACTCCATCTTCACCCCTTCTTATGCTTTTACTTTTTAACATTGAGACAGGGTCTCATTAAGTTGCTCAAGCAGCTTTCAATCTATTTTGTCCTATAGGCCTTAAACTTGTAATCCTCCTTCCTCAGTCTCCCAAGCAGCCAGGATTACAGATCTAAGCCACTACTGCTGGCTGGTACCACTTGGCACCCTATCTTATCCCAGCCATTGTTGCTGGCACTTTTTTTCTTCTCTTTCTTTTCTTCTTCTTTTTTCTTCTTCTGCTTTTTTTCAGTTTTTTTTTTTTCCCCTGCTTTTTTGTCAACTCTGCCTGGAATACATGCCACTACTAATCTTCCTCTCTCAGCTTCCAGAGTGCTATAGTACTACAGGTATACCACCATTTCTGGTATTCTCTTACTTAACCCTTCACTTTATTATCACAATAAATAGGCAATGGGCATTTTCAGTCTTATTTTAAGTCAAGGACACTCCCTCCGAGAGGAAAGGAGCCTTGTCCACATAGCCAGAACTAACTGAATAAGGCTCATGGGTTCAAAGCCCAGGTTGTTACCATTAGGCTGCACTGTCACAGACTCCACTCAGAGTCAGAAATGACAAACTCTGGAGGCCTTCTGTTCATCTGTTGTCCTTGATGCTGATGCCCCTAACAGAGGAGAAAAGTCTGGCAGAATGAGGCTGGGCTCCAAATCCAACTCCAGGTTCTCAGTTTTACAGCAGCTTCCATTGCTGCCTTCATAGATACGGTCAGAAGAAGAGGCAAATTGGAGCAGGCCCTCCTCCAGTCCTAGCTTTATCTGTGAAGCTCTCTACCTGGCCCGAGTCTCAGTTTACCCTCTGTGTAACTGGAGTACTAGCAGGATTTGCCATTATCTCCTGTGTAGAATCCTGTGCCCATGCACACATGCACACACACTCACTTCCTAGACTGACTCGGTAGGTCTGATGTGTGGCATGGCATCCCTCTGGAGAGAGGTGGCGTGACCAGGCCTCATCGTCTGAGGCCTTTCTTTCTTCCTTCCTTCTCTTTCTTTCAGATATTACTTCTCCATTAGGTGTGACTGCAAAGGAACATGACTGATATTTACCAAAACTGGATAAGCTGGTCAGAGGACCAATTCCCTGGCCATCAGGAGGGGAGACAACCACAATGGTGTAGCCAGTGTGTGCAGGGAACACATGTAGGATTTCTAGTGTTTGCCCCTCGTTTGCTGGAAATTGTTAGTCATTTGCTTTGGGCCTGGGCACTGTGAATACTAAACAAAGCTATTCACAGAAGAAACTCCACAAATGTGTTGGGTATTGCAGGAATTGCTAGGATGACAACAGCATTTGAAGGACCGGGTCCTCTGACAAGGATGTGTAAACTCCACTAGTGTGCATTCTGTGTGGCTTGGGATGCTGTAACCAGTTCTCCAAGCAAAAGTCAGGGCCAGGTAGACTTCCCTTATGCCTGTGCCCGGAGAACCAGGTACTGGCCTCCCTAGTGGCTCTTCGGACCATACCCTCTCTGCAAGTTCAGAGTGTAGAAGCACAAACTGTTTTTGTTTTTTTAAACAGATACTATCTTAGCTTGGTGAGGCTTGAGATCAGTCATCCAGTCTGATTAAAAAAAAAAACAAAAACAAAAAAACAAACCACTGTTATCTCTACTAATACAGAGAAGGCAAAAGGGACCCCAGGGTAAAAGGCCAATCATGTTTGGGACCATCTGGCTTTTTGTAAGGTGGCCTGGACAGCACCAAATTTTTGGTGACAAAGAGGTTACTCCTTGAAGTCTGGTTCTTGAAAATAAAAAACAAAACAAAACAAAGCATTTTTACATTAACTAAATAGCACAAGAAGAAAATTACTTCCCTAACAAAATTAAAACCCACCACAATATGCCTAGATATGAAAAGCTCAATGAGACAACATATTATAAATATAATAAAGGCATTAAATAAAAAAGGTTACTCTTTCCACTGTTTCCCTTTTCACAAAGCTGAGAAGCCACTTTCAAACTCACCACATTTCTCTATGAACTTCAAGAGGAAAAGGGTCAAAATAAGCAGCCAATTCCTCATCATGTTCTTTGACTTCTCAGAACTAGGAGGAAAAAACATCAATTGAGAGGCATGTCAGCGTTGGATTAGCTCAGCTCTTGGTGGACAACATGCTACCTGAGCCATGTAGTGGGACAGTTCATAAAGGGCTTCTCCTTCACACCTCTGACCTCACAACCTTGGCACCACACCTCTGGGAAGGAGACCCAGAGAGGACTTCTCTTTGTTTCATGGGCAAAGCCTCTCAGAGCGGCTAAGTGGGTTGTGTAAAGTCCTACTCTGAGGAAGTGAGCACACACCTGTACTTTCCCCTCAACTGCTCTCTGCAACTCAGTTAACAGAAAAAAAAAAATGGAGTTTCACTGGCAGACTGTTCTCTAGTTACAGTGAAGCAGATATAAACTGTGAAATTCAAACACCATGTTAGCAAAAAAATCCCCAGTGCTAAAGGCTAAGACATCTTGAAGGAGAAGCCCAGAACAGATGGAAAAGGAGCTGACAAGGTGACCACAATGCTAAAAAGATAACACTGGTTCACCACACAACTAGGCCTGTAAAAAGTTACAAGACAAGTTACAAAGCACGTGCCATGCCCATCTTCTGTGGTGTGTGTGTGTGTGTTTAACCATCTTCCGGGCCTCACTTTCAAGATGCCTCTACCATCTCTACTCCAGAGCAACCTGGAATCAGAGATTTCCTGTGGCAGCTGCTTCCCTTTGTCAGGTATCAGAGGTAGCTTTGTTCAATAACCTGGTACTTCCTCAAGGGATAGCACAGACTGGACAAGCAATATGTCCCCCAGACATGGGCTGTTCAGGTCCTAGGCTTCCCATTTATTTGCTGTATGATTTTGGAATACTTCTTAACCTATGCTCCCAATGGAGAAACAGGGATGGTGGTAACTACACCACAGAATTAAAGTGAGATGAAACGTGGGGCATGCATTCTCAAAAGGGGCTAAAATAGGCTCTTGGCATCTGAAAAATATCTGTAATAATTGTTTGTGGCTCTCCCAAAGGCCATAATACAAAAAAATAGATCTTATCAGCTGCATTAAAATTTTAAGGAGGTGGACGGATCAGATAACAAAGTTGAGAAACAATGATGTAATGTTATTACTATCCCAGCAAGCTCTCACAAAGCATGGCTATTTGCCCCAATACAACTGAAAAGGCAGGATCCAGGTGTCCTTTGGGGGAATCAACAGGAGCTTCTGGAACGGTCCTATATTAGCATCTAGCTCCCCCAGCCCCAAAGCTACCTGCACATTCCCAAACCAGATTCAGGCGGCACCAAAGGAGGCAAGCACGGGGTTCCAACTGCTCTGGAACAGTGCCGCCAACACCGGTTGGCAGCCAGTACCAGTGCTTTTGCTCACCCACACCCTGGCCCTTCAACCTCGGGCGTGCTGGCCAGGGTCGGGGCCGGAGGCTAGAGACCCAGGCGCTGGTGAAGGAGGCTAGGTTCGCGGTAGGCTGCCCTCTGAGGTGCCGGGCTAGTCTCTGCTGGGGTGGGTGCTGTCCTACAGGTTTTGGGGAGGCTGCCTCATGGCGATGGTTCTCACCTGACAGCCTCTCGGGCTTGGAGGACCGACTTCACCGAAAGCTGCACTCGGCCGCCAGACGCCACTTAGGAACGTAGAGGACCTTTCGGGCTCCGCTGACTATGTGTGAGGGCGGGGCCAGTTGTCACCTGACCTGAGCCACCGGGAGCTCCGCGCAAGGAGCTCTGGAAGTCGTAGTTTTCACAAGCCGATAACGCTGGGTGGGCTTGAGGAACGGGCAGAAGGGCGCAGGAGCCTTGGCATGGAGGGGCTCGGATGGGAGGGGAGGTCTCGTCACTTGTAGGGGCAGCAGGGCTCTCGAGCCTCTGTCGTCGCTGAAGCTCCGTGCTCCTTGGTGAAGATCCTGGGACACGCGGCGCTGTCCCGGAACCCCAGCCCAACAGTCCCGCCTCTTGTCACCTCTCCACCTATCGCCGGAGGCCGCCGCAAGGCGTGCGCGACTCCCCGACCAATGGGGAGGAGCGGCCCCGCGCTGTGCGCGGCGCAAAGCTGTCAGGGAAGCCCGCCCTCGCTGGCCGCGGCGCGGAGACTTCCCCAGCGCGCGGTCCCAGCTGTCAGCGCTGCCATGGCTGCGCGGCCCGTCACTCTCGGCATCGACCTGGGCACCACGTCCGTGAAGGCCGCCCTGTTGGAGGCTGCACCCGGCCACCCCTCCGGGTTCGTGGTGCTGGCGAGCTGCGCGCGGGCTGCGAGGGCGGAGACCGCGAGCGTGGCGGCCGGGCCGCAGGTGAGGCAGCCCTGGCGTCGCCGCCCCGCGAAGAAGTAGCCCCGACTGTCCAGCCTGTCCGATCTCCGCCTGCTGCCCTTTCCTCCGGGCTCCCCGCCTGTGCAGCTCAGGCCTAGCCGTTAGATTTTTGCCCAGGGAGCTTTCCCGCGTGCTGGCACAGATCTTCCCATTCTCAGCCTTCCCTGGGGCCCCTGCCCAGGGCGCTGGATCCATCTCCTCTCTGCTCATCACTCTCTGTACTTTGACCTGAGAGGACTCGCTATCGCGCTTGCTGCTCGTGGCTCACCTTTGCCCTGTGTCCTCAAGTTCAGGCATCATTCCCCGCGGCCTCCCCTCCTCCCCCGTTAGGCAGCTTGTGCTCTGAAATCAGATATAGGATTAGGCTTAAAGTGAACTGAAAAAATTCACCTAGTTACTCACAGAGGTCCACCCCCAACCTAGAGTCTCTGTAGGAAAGTTGTCAGAGCAGGGGGAAAGGCACTGAGATAAGTTGATTAAAAATTTAAAAAGAGCCCGGGGTGGGTGGGGAGTGGCGGCACACGCCTGTAATCCCAGCACTCAGGGAGGCAGAGGCAGGCAGACCTCTGTGAGTTCAAGGCTAGCCTGGTCTTCAAAGCAAGTACAGGACAGCCAAGGCTACACAGAGAAACCCTGTTTCGAAAGAAACAAAACAAACCCAAAAAGAATCATATGGATAATTATACACTACAACCACTGGCCTTTGAAAACCATAACATAGAAAAATAGACATTCAGGATCGCTCAGTAGGTAAAAGGAATTGCTGAGCAAGCCTGGTGACTTGAATTCTATCTTCAGAACCCACTGACTTCTGAAAAGTTGCCCCTTAACTGCCACATGTGCCTCCACTACAAGTGTCTTCGAAGGCGCTTGCACGCACATGTATATGCACATATGTATATATGTACACACATACATACATACATTTATACACACATATATACATACACTTTGTACACACACACACGTCTTTAAAAATATCCTATGAATTACAGACTGTGGATTCTGTTGGGAAATGATGTAAGTAGGCTCAGAATAAACATCAAGCCTCAGATTCTGCTCCTGTTAGTTTCCTGAAAAGGGCCAGTGTATAATCAGTGATCTTACAGAAATTAATGTCAAGGCGACAGTGCAAACCCTTATATTTTTTCTTGGCTTCAACTTGTTCCCTGACTAGAACTGGGTGGCTTCTAAGGCTTCCTCCAGAAACTTGGATTGCATGCAGCACCTGGTACTTGAGCTTCGGGTCTCAAACACACTTGCCAAGGTCTGTATTCAGTTCTTGGTGGTTCAGAACACACTTTGCTGGGACATGTTTAAGAAGATGAAGATTGCAGGAACACTTCTAATTTTCCTGGAGGCCTTCATATTTAATTTGGTTGGGGCCTCGGGACATTTTAGAGTGATTATTTGACTTCATGGATTATGACCTGGAGAAATTCCCTCTCATCCTAGGGGATTGAGGAGCCACAGTGGGTTCAGGCACTGCCCTTTTTTTTTGTGAAATTGAGCATCCTCCCCTGTTATGAGATAGCGTCTTGCTGGCCTCAAACTTGGACTTCCTGACTTAGCCTCCAGGTGCTGAGATTGCAGGTGTGTTCTACCCCATGCAGCTAAATTCCAGGGTTTTCAGGGAAACTCTGCCTCAGTTGTTTGTCATCTCTGCCTCAGTCTCCTTAGTTGAGGGGTGATGGGTGAGGGTCTGAGTAAGTTGCTAAGAACCTTTTTCAAGTCTGAAGTTCCAGGGCTGGATCTGGGTGTAGACCCACTGATGTTTTGAACCAAGAAAGAGTAGCAACAATGGCTTTTCTGTTACAGCATGGGTGTGCCCATTGCCCCACAACTGCCCCATCACACTCAACCCTAAAGTGAACTGCTGAACACAGCCTGCTTGTCTTTACTCCCAGCTGGCTCATTTTCCTCCTCCATGGTTTCCACCCAAACAACTCACTCACCCTGGACCCATTTTAAACAGAGGCCTCTCTGTCCTGAGTTGTACCATCTGATGGCTATTTGGGGACTTTGACGTTTATTTATTTATTTTTAATTCTTTTATTTTATTCATTTTATAGCCTGATCATAGCCCCTCCCTCCTCTCCCCACAGCCCCATCCTGACACTCCTTCCCCATTCCCCCATACCCTTATTTTCAGAGAAGGGGAGGCCCCCCCAGTGGGTACCAACTCACCCTGGTATATCAAGTCTCAGCAGGACTAAGGGCCAGGCCAGGCAGCCCAGCTATGTGAAGGGATCCAAAGGCAGGCATCAGGGACAGCCTGCATTCTAATTTTAGGGGACCCACAGGAAGACCAAGCTGCACATCTGCTACATTGTATAGGGGTCTAGGTCCAGCCTTTTGGTTGGTGGGTCAGTTTCTGTGAGCCCCCATGGGCCCAGATTAGTTGACTCTGTAGGGCTTCTTGTGGTGGCCTGATCTCTCTGGCTTCCTCAATCTTTTCCCCAACTTTTTCACATGACTCCCTGAGCTCTGCCTATTGTTTGGCTGTGGGTCTCTGCATCAGTTTCCATCAGCTGCTGGATGAAGCCTCTCAGAAGACAGTTATGCTGGGATCCTGTCTGCAAGCATAGCAGAGTATCACTAATAGTGTGAGGGGTTGGCTCTCTCCCATGGGTGGGTCTCTAGTTGGACCAGTCATTGGTTAGCCCTTTTCTCCATCTCTGTTCCATCTTTATCCCTGCACATCTTGTAGGCAGGACAAATTTTGGGTTGAAGGTTTTGTGGGTGGGTTGGTGTACCCCCTTCCACTGGAAGTCCCGCCTGGCTTCAGGAGGTGGCCTATTCAGGCGTCATCTGCTGGTAGAAGGCTCAGCTAGGGTCACCCATATTTGGGGACTTGGAAACTACCACTGTCTTAACAGAAATGAAAGACACAAATGTGGACTACACATGTAGTTTTCATTTTTTGAGTAGCTATTTAAAAAGAAGTAAAAGGAATTGGTAAAACTGACTTAAATAAAATCTTATTTATTTATTTATTTATTTATTATTTTTGAGGCAGAGTCCCACTGTGTAGACCTGGCTGCTTAGGAACTTGCCGTGTAACAAAAAATTACATGCTTCCAGCGTCTGAGTGCTGGGATAAAATTAATTTTCATTCTGTATTATAATTAACCTAATGTATGTAAAATATCATTTTAACATGCAACAATAGAGGTGTATTAAGGAGACATTCATATTAACTCTGAACCAGTGTGTGTGCATACGGAGTCTAGAGGCCACTCTTGCACTGTGATCCTCAGCCCTCAGGTTTTATTCCTGCCCCACCCGCATCCCTTTTTAAAGTGTCTCTCGCTGGCCTGCAGCTTGACAAACGGGCTGGCTGGTCCACAAGCCCCAGGCGTCTGTCTATTTCTGCCTTCCTAATGCAAGTACATGTCACAGCACCAGATTTTTTAAAGACGAGGCTTCCAGGGTTAAACTCAGGTCCACGTACTTGTGAGGCAAGCCCTTGACTGACAGTTCTGTCTTCCCATCCTCAGATGTTACATACATATGAAACATTTCCATTCAGACTGGACACATGTGCTTAATGGTTGCTACCTTGGACTGTGTCCTGAGTAAACACCCCCTCTACTTTCTGGTTTTATCTTTGCCCCATCTTTCTTTGTCTGTGGAGATCCTCACAGCCATGTGCCTCCTCAGTCTCTTTTACTGCTGTTCTTTGGCTGGCACACTGACAGGTTCCTTGCTGGGTGTGGGGCTGCCTGCTCAGCTCAGCTCTGTGCTCTATCCACTCCTTCACCAGCTCAACCTCACCTGGCTCCCTTCTTTGCTCTTCCTTTGTGTTGACTTTTTAGGCCAAGCACTGTCTCAGCCAAGGTTCAGTTTGTTCTCAGGACGGTAGGTTCATTCACTCCCTGGAGGAAGCCCAAAGACTCAGCCTCCCTGTTTCCTCCAGCTTGTAAGCTTTCCACAGCAGAGAATGGCATTCATTTTTGAGTTACGCTTTCCTTTCTCTTCTCTGAACTTTCCATGCACCTTCCTAGTTGTTGATGACTTCTTTATTTTGTATTTGATGTGATTTCTGTGTGCCCAAATACCTTATTTTAGATGAGATCAAAATACATTCTCAATTTATGAAACTTAGAACCCTAGCTCTTGTTTGTTTGTTTGTTTTGTTTGAGATACAGTTTCTTTGTGTAGCTCTGGCTGTCCTGGACTTTGTAGACCAGGCTGGCCTTGATCAGAACCCTAGTTCTTAAAAATGGATTTATTTCGTCATGTGTGTTTGTGTTTGTAGTGTCTGAAAAGGACGGAAGAGGGTATTGGATCCTGTGGAACTGGAGTTACTGGCAGTTTGTAAGCCACTTGATGTGAGTGTTGGGAACTGAACTGGGTTCTCTGGTAAAGTAGCAAGTCCGTCCTCTTTTTTTTTTTTTTTTTTGGAGACAGGGTTTCTGTGTGTAGCCCTGGCTGTCCTGGTACTCAATCTGTAGACCATGGTGACCATGAACTCAGAGATCCGCCTGCCTCTGCCTCCTGAGTGCTGGGATTACAGGTCTGCACCACCACTGCCCAACTGTTTTCATGATTTTCATCAGGTTTGACCT